ATTATTGTTTATGGAGTGAGGCCACCAGGGGTTGGACTTTTTTGGAATGCTGATTTTTGTTACTTCTTTTATTGTTCACATTGGGAGCCACCCAGAGTTACAGTACATAAGCAAAGTGGCCATATATGTTTCATAAACAAATAAATATAAGTATAAAGAAGGAAAGTATCAGTTGACCATAAATACCATTTTGCCATTCAGTGAGGCAATTGAAGAGAGGAAAGCTGTGTGATTCAAGAGGTATCTAACTCAATTCCAAAGTATTTTTCAGGCAAAAACAAATATAAAATCTGTCTTAAATTCATGCAATCCGGAATGTTTTCCAGTCCTCAATTTTACTAAATCCATGGTTTTACCTTATGAAGAATAGAAGTAAACGTAATTAAAATCAACAGGTTATATTTTTTCTGAACATACTGAGGTTCAAAGGGCAAATTTTAATATTCCACAAGGGGTGGGCTATAACTAAATTCCAGAGTTGGGTTATGTTTTTATTGGCTTATTCGTGCTCTAAGACATGAAAGCACAACACACACAAAGCCATCCAAAACCTGTGGGGGTAAACCTGTGGCACTTTGATGTTGCTGAAACAGGACTCCCCACTGCAACAGCCAATAAGGCTAATTGTGAAGATTGCTAGGAGCTACAATTCAGCAACATCTGGAGAGCCTTAAGTTACCACTCCAATGAAAGGCTGGCTTTCATAGGGCTGTACAGTACAGTTCCTGATCTGTTGCTCTACAGCCTTGTTGCAATCACAGCAATTATGTAACCGCTGACTTTGCCTGCCTGAGTTAAAGGAGCCTTCCCAAAATGTCTAGACAGGTTCCCATTTTGATATACACTTTGATTGGACTCCAGCCAATCCTAACGGCAATAGGGAAAACTTGTATATATAAGGTTAGCCTACATAAGCTTCATCTTATCTGAGTTAGTCTCCTCAAGCATAGATAAACAAATTCACAGTATGTTCCTTGAGCTATGTCCCATGTTTAGGGGGTAAATAAATATGAAGTTCCTTGGAGCATTTAAAAAAAAAAAAAAATTGTCCAATGCATCTCAATACAAAACAGGTACAAAAGGGAAGGTTATTGAAAAGGACATCATGCTGCAGCCATCAAGAAATCTTGAAGCAGTTTATCTAGACCTGTTTGAGTTAGATTTCAGTTAAATTTAGAATACACAGCCTCGGTTATACTTGCCGATGATCAGTGGCAGAGCCAGGATGGGGCTGGTACATCCATCCTTATGCTCCTTTATCTCTCCAGCAGTTTTTAAAACCATCAACCATGTTAACCTTCTGGCTAAGCTCCAGGACTTTGAAATTGCTTTACTGCAATTCTTTTCCTTCATTCACAGTCAGTTCCAGTTGGTGTTGATTAAAGGGATAGGGAGATATTGCTCCCTAGATTTCTTCTTTGTGGGGTATCACAGGACTTGACCCTCACGCCTCATTCACAATTTACATGACATTGGGGGGGGGAGGGAGATTTGGGGTTTGCTATAAGCAGTATGCTAAAGATGCCCAATTATATGTTTCAACCCCAGGCCAGCCAAGTGAAGTTGACAAAGCTCTGTCCCAATGCTTGGATATGGAAAAACTATACCTAGCTCAGTCAAGACTAAAGTAGCTGTTGCTAGTGTCAACTAGATCCAAGGAAGTTCCATTTTAAACTTGGATAGGGTATCACTTATCTATGCAAGAATGGTGCACAGTCTGAGGGGGGGGTGTCTTCTTGGACTGAAAGCTCCTCCTTGAAGAACAGGTGGCAACTATGGGCAAAAGAGTCTTTGCACACTTCCAGTTGTACTCTTTCCTGAATCAGTAGACCCTTTGGACAGTCACTCAGGGAGTAATCTCTTCCTACTCAATTATTTCAATGGGGCTGCTCTTGAAGACCCCTCAGAAGCTTCAACTGGTCCAGAATGCAAAGGTGCAGACAATGATGGGCATGCCTCAGTATGCCCAAGTGATATATGTTCCATGAGCTGCACTGATTTCAAATTTGCTGCCAGTTGTGATTTCAAGGAGCTAGTTGTGACCTATAAAGCCCTGCATGACATTGGGCCCAATTATTTGAGGGACCATGTAACTGCAGCCAGTATGAACCAGTAGGATTGCACATTCCAAACCCCTTCAGTTAAATTAAGTTGCCTTTCAGGAACCAGGAAGCATGTCTACTTGTCAAACAATATCTGTCTTCTGGAATTAGAATCTTTCTGAGATCTTGGTGATTTCCACCTGGATGGTGTTCCAGATGCTTAAAAAACTGACTGCTCTCCCAGTCCTGGGCTAGGATAGCCAGAGCTCTCTATGGAGTGTGTCTGTATATGTTTTCTGTGCTGTTGGCTAGCTTTGCATTTTTTTTTCCAAATCTGGAGATGCCATTGCCCACACTTGTATATTTTATTTTAAAAATAGCAGAACAAAATATTACCGGCTAAAAAATAATTTTCTGAAAACAAAGCATTTTTGCTCTTCAAAATTTTAATAAATACTAGACCAGTTTGAAAGAGGCTTATTTCTAAAAATCTATTGCCAAGTGTACCTCAGCAGGTGGCAGCACCTGGTTAAACTTCTCTGGACATGGAAGCTAAGCAGATTTGGTCCTGGTTATACTAGGGTAAAACAGACAATTCAAGTCTTCCAGATATATTGGCTAGATTTATGATTTTGAAAAACTTTCAGATGAAAGCAGTAGTAAATCACTTCGTTGGCTAAGAATTCACAGATGTGTCTATAAAATCACCAGGAATCAAAAGAGGCTTTATTGTACTTGTTTTTATCATTTTCTATGGTTCAAAAGTCTTCACTATTCTATAACTAAGCAGAATGAATGTTCAGCATAATTAATAGAATAGAACAGAATTCTTTATCGGCCAAGTGTGATTGAACACACAAGGAATTTGTCTTGGTGCATACGCTCCAAGGGATATGCATTATAAGGGATAGTGCATTATGCAAATGGCAAAACACAACAATAAAAATGTCACTCACCCAAACTATCACCTTCCAAAGACATTTAGCCTTGCACATATTGTAAGATGCGGTATTTGTTAGACCCAGTTAAGAATTGTGCATAGGTTTCTGATCTAACTTTGACTTTCGTAACTTGTATCTTTGGAAGTCTCATCTGATGTAGATAATCAACAAGCTATATACATTAATTCCATGATATATTTTTTTTACATACAGCCCAGGTGAAAGCAACAAAAATCTACAATTTGTGCAATAGTGCAAAATGCCAGAATCCTGCATCATGTGTTCTACTTTTCATAATTATCCTTATGGCTGATTCATGCATGAATGTTTATAACTCATAGTTCATTATTCAATGACTCTTGGCTCTATATGCTTGTTTTGGAGGAAAACCAGATCATGATAGGATGATTTAAAAAGCTGGCTCTGTGCTATATATTATATGACCATCTTGTATCTTCCTGGCAACCAAATAAGGAACATTCAATTGCAGAACTTAACCCCTAATTGTCAAAAGCAATGAGCAACAACTCCTTACTCTCAAATGTATCCCTGCTTTACTTGCATGTTGACTATACTACCAGTAAGAAAAAGTGATTTGTCAGTTTCTGAGACTGTTTTCCAAAGGCAAACCTTTCCAAATTCTTGACAATATTAAACTGAAACCAAAAAACAAAACAAAACTGAAGCTAAAAAGCCAGTTGCAGTTTTTTTTTTCTGACCCCAGCTCTCAAAGGGTTAATGGCAAAAAATGAAGAATTTGTTCAGTAAGCTAGAGTGCATTAGACATTCAGAGCTAGGCTGTCACAGTTATCCTGGAGATCCAAAATTCTTTACAGATGCCCAAAAGATATTCAGATGTTTACGGTTGGTTACTGCCCAGTTCTTTACAATTAGCTGGCACGGCTCAGCTGCTGAATACCCAGGTACTTGCAGTAAAAAGTCCCCACAACAGTTCATGTTATACTTGGAAGATGCAGATTATTTGAAATTTATGTTGGATTATAGCTAGCAGAATTGCCAGCAGCCCCGACATATGTGAGACTAACAGACTGAGGGGAGTTATGGTAGACGGCTGTCCCTTTACCTATAGTGTCACATCCCGAGGCACCTTAAAAAAAAAAAAAACAGGCAGCTCAGTAGCCCAGGATTTTTGCACTTCAGAATGCATGCAACCCATTATATATTTGCAATTACTTTGAAGATCTACCTTCGAAGTAGATTTGGACACATAGATTATTTCCTACTTCCCCATTTTATATCACTGAATTATATTCACTTTGATTTGAAATTACAGTAATAAAATTTCAGTGACAGTGGCATTGGCAGGAGATCTGCCTCTTTCTTGCACTTGCACAATTTTCTCCCATAAAGGAGCCTTGCCCTGACTCCTACAATGTAGTCTGACAAGGACTACAATCGAGGAGCCTGTTTTTCCACACAGCTGTGCTTTTCCACAAAAACCCCTTCTTGACTCTTTCCACTTGCAGAAAGAGAGCAGAGGCAACACAACCACAACCAACGCAACAGAGGGTCGCCAGAACAAGCTACACTTCCGTGGAAATAAAGCGAATGCAACCCTTTAAGGCAGCCATCCCCTCCCCCCACTCCATCTGAGCTAGACCACTCTTAACCATGTGCCACCATGACTATGGATCAACGAGCCAAGAGTGATGGTAGTTAGAGTCCAAACCATTTGGAAGGCACAGGAATGAGGGAAACTGATTTAAGGAAAGGACTGCTTCTTTATAACCCAATGGGGAGAAGCAGTCTATCCCAGCATTGAGTCCGGGCGTCTTTCCTAACCCAAAGATTCTTCCCCCTAAAGGTAGAGTTCCGGGATGCTTTTGAAGTATCGGGTTGGTGGGGTCGGGCGACCTCTCACTGCCTCGTTTGGTCAACCCCACTTTCCCCCACACTCCTCCAGAACAAGGAGCCCTACTTCTGCAGCACACACGCACGGGGGACCCACACATCCTGAGTCACCGGCCAAGTCATTCAGAGACGCGAGCCGATTTACCGCTGCTATCCTTGAAGGAAGGGGTCAGGGTGTTCCGCAGGCTCTGGCTCCAGCCCCTCTCGCTTTCCTCCTCCTCCTCCCGCTGCTGTTGCTCCGCGGGACCCAGGAAACTCGGCTCCAAGCCACCCGGCACTTGGTGCTGGTGCTGCTGCTCTTCCTCCTGCTCTTCCGCTGCCGGCGCCTTGGAGCCTTGGCGTCCACCAGTCCTGCCCCGATGGCTGCGTCCTCCCTCGGGGGTCTCGTCCTCCTCCTCCTCCTCCTCTTCCTCGGAGGCAGAGCGGGACTCCGCGGTGGTGCTGTAAAATGGGTTGCCGCTGCTGTCCTGGCCCGATTCCCCGAAGACATCGTCGGAAATCTGCAGGCTTTCGTAGCGGCAGCGGGCTGCCTCTAGCAGGGACAGCGCCTTGAGCCGCTGCCCGCCGCCGCCGCCGCCGCCCTCCGCCATCATCTCCACCGGCGGCGTCAGCAGCCGCCCTCGCTCGGACGGATCCTCCGGCCGCAGGCAGCAACCCAGCAGCAGGAGAGGCTCGGTCACCGAAGTAGGCAAGCAGGCTGAGGAAACATCGGTTCCGCCACCGCTTTCTCCTCCTCCACCGCCTCCGCCACCTCGGAGCCCAGCCTCCCGCTCTCCCCGGCACCACCCGCCCCTGTGTGTGTGGAGAGCCATGGGTGGAAGCAGCCAGCTTAACATCTCTTCCAGTACCTCCTCATCTAGCCAATTACAGCTGCAGTCCTAAAACGAGAGGTGGGGTTTTATGAGCGCTCCCGATGCCCTGAGACCACCCATTCCCCGCCTTCAAGTGGGAGGATCTCCGCCGTTTAAAATCACAGAGTTGGTTTTGAGGGGGGGGGGGGAAAGACGGGAGGCTGCGCAAAGTCTACTGATCCAACGCGAGAAGTTTGCAAGTGGCTCATTAACTCCGAGTCATGCGCTAAAGCTGCTTGGTGCCTTTCTCCACGCGGCCAGTTTCCCGGATCTCCGTGGGATCTATCTTGGGAAGAGAGAGCTTAGCGTCTTTCCTGGGGTGTTTTTTCCCTTTAACGCTACTGGAAGGAGCTGTCCGCCGCTCTGGTGCTGAAGACCACAACTCCTGGAGTCCCCACCGCAAGACCCTTTTAGATTTATGCATTAAGGCGGTAATTACAGTAATTATTATAAGAAGAGGTTGAGCTCACCGCCGATTATTAAAAGATTTGGCACATGTTCAGGTAGGAAGCCGGCAAGCAGCAGGACCCAGCAGGAGGCATGCCTGGAGCCAGAAAAGAATTAGAAAAATAGCATGCATAAACAGCAGCGTAAGACACGCGCCTGGCAATAATAACCATCCTGTCACCTCCACTTCCTCGGAAAAAAAGCATCTATAAGCATAAATGCTGCACTCAGCTATGATTTAGGGTCTTCGAGTTACTTTCGTGGTGGTGTAAACAGGAGTGTCACTAATTTACCATCAGGACAAAGAGAGCGCAGAGCATATTTTAAAGCAACAACAACAAAAAGATTGCAAAGAAGCTGAGATCTGGAAGTGACCACAGAAGCTGAGACCTTGGCACCATTAGGGGAAATGATCATAGCCATATTCAAGAATGGCAATGACCATTCTATCATATAGTGGTCTGTACTTTACAAACACAGTGCTAGTGGTTAGGAACTCCTGGCTGCAATGAAGGAAGTCCAGATCTTTGGAACAGATACAGCTATTTGTCTAAAATGAATCAGAGAGCTCCCATTCCAAATTGCTCTGAGTTTTCCTACAAAAAAATTACTGTGCATTAATTTAGGATTCACTGAAAATTGCCTGCATCTCTCAGTTACTACATGGTAACTACAGAATCAATATATAAAATTAAAATATGGGATGAAGGTTAAAAAAGCATTTTATAGGGAATAAATAAATAAATAAATAAATAAATAAATAAATAAATAAATAAATAAATAAATAAATAAATAATTTTATTTCTATACCGCCCTTCTCCCGAAGGACTCAGGGCGGTGTACAGCCTATTAAAAACACAAAGACAGACATCAGTTAAAATTAATTAAAATTATTACATAATTTCAGCTCAGATTTAAAACCCCAAAAATTTAAAATACCCAATTTAAAAATCATTACATTGATAGCCCGGCTTGGCGGAACAGCAGGGTCTTGAGGGCACAGTGAAATACACGGAGGTCGGAGATCTTACGTATTTCCTGGGGCTGTTCATTCCACAGGGCAGGGGCTCCCACAGAGAGCTGCAATAGACAGTACCTTTAACACCATCAAACAACATCTGACTATCCCAGGTCCTTGGAAAGGACTCGATAGGTGGATAAAAATGTCAAATCTAGTCTAAACATCTGACTGACTGCGTAGCCAACCAAGATAATAATGAATAACGACAACAACATATGTTGTCTCTAGCCCTTATAGGCTGAAATAAGATCTGATCTTGCTATATACAGCCATGGGTGGGGGAGGGGGGTAGGAACAACCTAAAAAATATTGGTACTAGATTTGGAGGTATATCTCCACTCATATAAAAGGGCACCCAGAGTTTTATATCTGGCTTGACTGATGTACTTACTTATATTAGTTAGCTTGTACTTTATATTCATAGACAAAGTCTTTTCCAAGTTTGTTATGAAACAAACCTAAGAGCAGGGGTGAAATTCTATCGGTTCACTCCGGTTCAGGCGAATCAGTAGTGATAAATATCTTTGAGACCACCTTCTACCACATAGCTCCCAGTGACCGGTAAGATCCCACAGAGTTGGTCTCCTCCAGGTCCCATCAGCTAAACAATGCCAGCTGGTGGGCCCGTGGGGGAGGGCCTTCTCTGTGGCTGCCCCAGCTCTCTGGAACCAGTTACCTCCTGATGTCTGGACCATCCCCACCCTACTGGCCTTCCGAAAAGCGGTGAAGACCTGGCTTTTCCGGCAGGCCTGAGGCAGTTGATCTTGCTGTTGCGATCTTGTGAGATCTGGCCATAAATGGTGTGAATGGGTTTTAATATTTTAATTTTTAAATGTTTTTATAATCGTTTTTTTAAAAATGCATTGCAAGCCGCCCTGAGTCTTTGGAGAAAGGCGGCATATAAATTGAACTAATAAATAAATAAAAACTACCAGCTCGGGCGAATCGGTAGTAAAAAAAAAGCTAACAGTTCAGTCGAACCGGTAGTTTAAAAAAGCTACCGGTTCATCCGAACTGGTATTTCTGATGATCAGCTGTGCCGCATGGTTTAGCTTTGCTAGAAAGCAGGAAATCCTGCTTTCTAGTGAAGCTAAATCTCACGGCACAGCTGATCCTCCCCCCCCCACTGTTCTACTTATCTTCCCAAACCTCCTTTTGGCATGTACTGTGCACGCACATGCAGCATGTGTTTGGTGTGCACTGTGCATGCACACACAGTGTGCATTTGGTGTGCATGCGCACACACAGCACACGCTTGGCGCACAGCGCACATGCGTGGCCAGTGAACTGGTAGCAAACCAGTTCAGATTTCACCCCTGCCTAAGAGATAGGTCATCTATTACAGCTCCACATTTATATACTGAGTAGGTCCAATTCAGACCTTTTATGAATCACTTTTTACAGTGATTTCTCTCAAACTCATTCTTATTTATTTTATGTACAGTATGTCTTACTTTTAGTATTAGAAGTTTAATTATTTTATTGTATTAGAAGGTTTAATACCATAGTGTTCTGTTATTATAAAATTAAAGACACTCTTCAGTATTTTTAATGTGTTAATTGTTCAGTATTTTTAATGCAAATCAAAGACTATTTCATTATTCTTTTGGCCAAACCAGGACAAACATTTGTATGTTAATTTGTTTGAAACAAACCCAATCTGTTTTGGATTGTGAGTTCATTTGTTAAGGTTGCTCAAGTCTGTATGTACTGTCATATACTTACATATACATAAATTGGTATCATTTTCCAACTATGTATTTCTCTTGCTTTATAAGACATATATACATGCATATAACCCTGCACGCAATTTATTGTTGATTCCAGGGGTGAAATCCAGCAGGTTCTGGAGAACTGGTAGTGGACATTTTGAGCAGTTCGGAGAACCGGTAGTGGAAATTTTGAGTATTTCAGAAAACCGGCAAATACCACCTCTGGCTGGTCCTAGAGTGGGGTGGGAATGGAGATTTTGCAATATCCTTCCCCCAGGAGTGGGGAGGGAATAGAGATTTTGCAGTATCCTTCCCCTGCCATGCCCACCAAGCCACGCCCACAGAACCGGTAGTAAAAACAATTGGATTTCACCACTGGTTGATTCGTACTGCAGAGCATACAATTGAAATTTAATTAACTTAAACTTTAAGTCATTAAATAATAACAAACAAATGACTAAGCAAAATAATCAATTTAAAATTTAAGTAACTTGAAAATTAGATAAATTTCTTAGTGCAATTTAGTTAAATCTAGATCTCTCTTAAACAAATTGATGACGGCACCCTCATTATTATCCCTAATAATTATTCCTCCTACATTTTAATTACAACTGTGATGTAGTGGGAAGACTCAAAAGCTTCAGTAACCCTAACAGCAATGCTGGTGGGAGCAGGAACTCCTGATACAGGCCACACTTGGAATACTGCATTCAGTTTTGATTGCCACAATATAAAAAAGATGTTGAGACTCTAGAAAGACTGCAGAGAAGAGCAACAAAGATTATTAGGGGACTGGAGGCTAAAACATATCAAGAATGGTTGCTGGAATTTGGTATGACTAAATTTAATGAAAAGAAGGACTAGGGGTGACATGATAGCAGTGCTCCAATATCTCTGGGTTTGCCACAAAGAGGAGGGAGTCAAGCTATTCTACAAAGCACCTGAGGGCAGGACAAGAAGCAATGGATGGAAACTAATCAAGGAGAGAAGCAACCTAGAACTAAGGAGAAATTTCTTGACAGTTAGAATAATTAATCAGTGGAACAACTTGCCTCCAGAAGTTGTGAATGCTCCAACACTGGAAGTTTTCAAGAAGAGATTGGACAACTGTTTGTCTGAAATGGTATAGGGTTCCCTGCCTGAGTAGAGGGTTGGACTAGAAGACCTCCAAGTTCCCTTCCAACTCTTCTCTTCTACTCTACTCTACTCTACTCTACTCTACTCTACTCTACTCTACTCTATTTGCCGGAAAGGTCAAAAGAGCATGAATGAAACTAAGGATAAACCACAACCACAATCAGTAAAACACTGATTGCTCCCTTGGGATGTGGATCAACAAGGAAAAAATCATGCACTCAGGGCATATGATGCAAGCAGATTACGGACAAGAAAAACAACCATGCCTAGCAATACTCAGGGAAGTTCAAGAAGGGGAAGAAGATAAGAGGGATGAATAAAGATTATTGGAATATCCATGGAAAATCTACAGATTATCACAAAAGACAGGGAGGAGAGTTGTAAAGTATTTATGCACATGATCAATTCTGATCCCAATTTAGTGATATCAAATTATAATTTTTTATACAAAATTGAAACAGTAAATTCATAATTATATCTAAGACAATCCAAGCTTAGCTTCTAACTCCCCCAGAATATTAAACACTTGCCTCCCCTTTATGTTTTCTCCTCTTGGATCAGAATTTCAGACTGATTTTTTGGAAATAAAGATATGTGAAACTATAACTTTTCATTTCTGCAAACAACGTATCTTAAATTAAAACAAAAAAACCCTTCCTATGTTGAAAATTCCTATTTACATATGCTTAATTAATTAATTTCAG